AGGAGGGTTGAGAGTGGGCGAGAAGTTGAACTAATATTTTCGGAATGGGGTTTTGACACAATTGGGGAGTTGAGCAAAGAATTGGAGGAAGGTAAAATGAGGAAGAAGAAGAAAAAAGGAACATAATAAAAGCGGCTAAATAGTTTGGGCACATGGGTAGGAGTAGTAAATAATTTGGGCCTGAATATTAAATGGTAAATAGTTTGGAATTAATGGGTATAAAATGAGATTTTCTCTTTAAAGTCTCCTTACAAAATTTTACGGGCTTTACAGTACCCTATTATTAGGTTTACATAAAATTGTATTTTATAGACCATTACTATTACTCAATGAACCAAAACATCCAAAATACAAGATACGACTTCAAGAGATAATATGCAATTAGTATTTTTTTTTTTGGATCATTTGATTTTTAATGACAATTATTATAAACTTAATATTAAAATGTAATAGCAATGCCTAATGATGAGAGTGGAGCAAAAATGTTTACACTTGCAATATAATCAATTACAATATATTTTATTGATAAGCTACAAGTCTACAACAATGATGTAGTTCGAGGTGATGCTTACTAGTAGAAGACTGCAAATTAGTAAGCTAGAGATGCACAAGTTAGTGGTGATGCTTATTGCTTATTGCTTATTGCTTTTGGTCAATGATAGGGACTGTTTGCTGAAAAGTTTTCCGATCAAAAGACCATAGGTCAAAAATCAACCAGCTTAAAATTAATTTTTTTGATTTAACTGATACATACTTATCGAAGATCGTACAATTAATTGACGACAACATATGAAAGATCAAGACACAATTCGTAACTCTCGTGTATTATTCCTTCAAAATGCATTACACATAAAATGTTTTATATAATAATATTAGTTCCACCTCAATTAATTGGATTACCCAAGCCCTTTAAAATGCAAAATGCATCTCTCTCTCTCTATATATATATATAAGTGGGCAATAAGAAAGTAAGGTGGGACCTCTTTTAGGCTAAGAAACATATTTATCTTTTTTTCTCGTTTTTTGGGGAACTTTCATCATTCTTTCCATTTATTTTACAATAAAAATAAAAAAATTATTTTAATAACTCACAACTCTTTATCTTCATAACTTATAATTTTAATAGTATCTCAATAACTCCAATCCCTTTCATATTCATAACCTCTAAATGTTTAATGTGTAAATTTATGATAATTTATCTCATTTTTTAAATCTTCCCCTTCATTTCTCTCATTTAATCTAGAGTAAATGAGTAATAAAAAACCCATGTAGTAGTTTTCTAGAACAAAGCTCACGTAGCTTTAGCAATTGAATACCATTTCCTTTATTTATATTTGTTGTCCTTTATTTACTTTAAAATTTAAAATTTCATTTTCATAACTCATACTACCTTAACTTCAACTCTTAATAATATCCATAACTCTCATGCTTTTCATATTCATAACCCCCACATATTTAATTTAAAAATTAAAATACCTTATGGTATTCATTTATTTTTTCCTATATAAATTCATAACTTTGTTTCATGAGACCCCTCCCCAAGACTACCCTTTCTATTCTGAAATAGTAATGCTGTCATATTTGATTCATGTTTTAGTTTGGCTTGAGGAAGAAGGCTCTTGAATAATGATCGATATTGCGGGAGGGGGTGTCGACAAGAACTCGAAAAATTATACACTGATTTTGCATTTCTATTTCCTGCTATTTTCTTAAGATTAAGGTCTCAAGTTGTATCTTTTCTTCTCTATTTACTTTCTCGCGTGTTCTCTTTCGCTTTATTTTCTATGAACTTTTGTTTGTCGCAAGTTTGTATTTTCGTTTAGACTCAAATTAATTACTTATGAATTAAACTTTGTTGGAAGTCTGCTAAATACTAACCAATAATAGCTCATTGTGTAAAAGGGATAAATTTTAAACATTCAAATATGCCCTTCATTAGATATTTTGGCAACACTTCTTATTTCTTTTAGTCAGTAAAAAGTGTTAGGGCTAAAAGTCACAGAGCAGGCGCATGTTCTTCTTTGCTGAGCCATCGACATGTTTGTTTCTTGTAAAATAGAAATTATTTTCTACTTTATTTTTACTTGTGATTTTATAAAGTAAGTAGTAAATTATCTTTCATTTTATTCGTATGATTGGATCATGTATTATATGTACGACAAAATAAAATAAAGTATTTGGTTTACTATGTAACTTTTGATTCTTTTTGAAGTATTGTGATAATTATCTTTTTTTTGAAAGTTATGTTTTGATTTTCTTCTTTGAATTGCCTATTATTTGTAAGACAAAAACTTATTTATTTTGCTGATAGGATACAAATAATTGAGCAAGTATTCTGAAGTGAAGTACTCTAGTCTCCTTAGAATGGAGAATATGAGAGGGAAACTAATGAATAGAAAAGAAAAGACAAAGATGAAGGCTAAGAAGGGCATAACGAGAAGGAATATAAAAAAAAATATGTCGCAATTTTCACATATTTCTTTTGTTTTGTTTTATTTTATTTTCATTATTAGTTTCTTTACTTTTATTTCATATTTCTTTTATTTGAATAGGAGAAATTTTAGCAAAGCCGATGTTTTACCGTTTAATGAAAAAATTATCTATTTACATGTCTCTAACATATAATTGTACTTAAAGAGTCATCTATTAACCCCTCACTTCCTCCTCATTAATTATAATATATGTAAGTGAAATGTTTTTCTTAAAAATCCTTTCTCTTTTATTCCTTTTAAAAAGAAAATCAAGAAAAAATGTAGTTACCTAAAATCTAATTCTAATTAAAATGCTAAGTATATGATTTATCAATATGTAGAATTATCTTTTATATCCATATTAATTTTTTTTTAAAAATATCTCTTGCATCCACTATATGTCGTTATTTTTCTTTTTTAAATTTAGTGATATTTCTTATACCCGTGCGAAGCGCGAAAATTTTTACTAGTTTAATTCATATTACCCAAAATAATAAAAATCTTTTCAAATTGGACAATCCACTAATCTCTTAGGCCTCATTTGTTTTTTTTAAAGATTAAAACGTTTGAATCTGAATATACGTTTGAATATCAAGATGTGTATTAAGATTAAGACATCTGAATCCATATCTGAATGTTTTGATATGTATTAAGACCTGAATACTAAATGATTAAGACTGTTTTATTTTAACATCTAAATGTATAAAATTTACTTTTATTTGAAAATTAATAAACATAAAATTCAAATAAATACTAATTAATCTAATATTCCATCAATAAAATATATAACTTTTTAGAATATGATAGTTGCTCGTGGTGATGGCTAACGGTAGTGTTTGTGAATGCCGACTAAAAATGATGGTTGGTGGTAGATTTAGTTGATGGTAGTAGTTTAGGAAGTGATGATTGGTAGTGGTAGCTATTATGATTAAGGATGGTGATGGTGGGTGGTGATAGTTAATAATGACGGGTGGTGGTAGCTGTGATTGAGGAAGATGGTGATGGGTGGTGGTAGTTTATAATGATGTCAGTGCCAGCTATGATTGTTGATGGTGATGGGGTGGTTAGTTGTGTTAGTTGAGATGGATGAGTATTAGTTGTCATTGATAGTGGTGGGAGTGGTAGAGATGGTGGGTGGTGGTAGTTGACAATGGTGGCGGCTATGATTGAAGATAATGGTGGTAGTAGTAGGTGGCACAGTGATAGTTGATAATGGTAGGCGGTGGCGACAGTTAATAATGAATATAGATGGTAGCGTCTTAATGAAATTAAGTTGTGTTATAGATCTTAATCATACGGACCTATTCAGAACCCATTAAGTGGTTGTGAAATAAAATAAAAAAGAATTACAAGAAAATACACGTGACTTTACACCATAACAAAAAAATGGTCTATGTTTTTAAGTTTTACCTGACCTAGCCCATATTGTACATATTTTGAAAGCAATAGCAAATTCAAAACATGTGTTCTTACAACCATTGCTTCTAAAAGCTATATATGGAGTTAAATATGTCTTCTCATAACCATTTCTTTCACTCTATCTTCTTCTCACATCTTCTACATATGCTTCAAGGTCATTCAAAGCTTTGCTTTTGAAAATAGGATTTTTTGAGATTGTTAGTGTTGTTTCAATTGATTGAAAATATCAAAGGAGTTCAAAATTTAAATTTGAAGTGATTTGGAGTAGATTTGAGCAAGATTTTTGAATTAAATTTCAAAAAAGACACAAGGAAGAAGACGAAGTCAGTTTTTTGTATAGTCATGTATAATCTTGCATAATAGTGTATATGAGTGTATAAACACATCTTATACACTATTATACAATTTTATACACATATATACAAGGGTCTATAGACGAACTTCTTCCACGATTTTCAGTTGCAATTCTTATTCAAAACCAGTCCAAATCTCCATTAAATGACTTCAAATTTTATATACAACCTCCTTATACTATTTCTAATAAGTTTAAATAACATCCGCTCCAAATTTCTCACAAAATCAAATTCGAAATTTAAACCCACATATTTAAGCTTATTAAAAATCTAATTTTCACCACCCAAATGAATTTGGTTTGTTGAACTAATATTTGAGTCACAATTACTGATTCAAAAATTAATTTAAACGCTTGAACAATTTTTTTAAAATCAATTGGAGTTGGATGTTGAATCTTAGCTTATTATTTTTGGGTTAGTTGATTGTAAATTGAAATATGGTCTATAAAATTAAAAAGTAGGGAGTCCAATTATTTTTATATAAAAATATATATATACAACTATTAAAATTTAAATAATTAAAATTCAGACTTTAAAAACAAACACACTTAATATATTTAAGATTTGAATGACCTTGGTTAGGTGCACGAATGAAGCCTCGGTAGTCTCTGTGTGAATTGTAATTTGTAACGGTCTACTTTATCTCACCAAAACAAAACAAAAAAAGTAGTACCAACCTAGGTGGCAAATAGGTGGGACCCTTCAAAGGGTCCAAGTGGATAGAATTAGAAATAACTCCCTATTTTCCCTACTGATTGGATTCTCAAAATCTACTAAACCCTTCTTCTGTTTGCAATTGCAAAGACTCTCACCCCGGAAACACACACTCTCACTCAAATTCACCCAAAAAACTTCACTTGGCAATAACGGGTTTCAAACCCTAGAAATCCAGGTATACCGATTAGTCCCCCTCAAATTCTCCGTCTATTTTCTGCATTCGGTTCAATGCTATTTTGTTTGTTGTTACTCAATAGTGCTCTGATTTTATATTCTGGGCCATTCGTTCAGCCCTAGATTATTCTTTTTGGGCATTGATTAATTGGGTTTGAATTTTCTGCTTTGCTTGTTNAAAAAAAAAATATAAAAATATAAAATCACCTTCATGTTGCTGTTGTTTTTCAAATAACATTAGGGGTTGTTTGGGTTGGATGTATTAATTTAAGTATTACTGAAATTCCAATTTAACTATGTTTGGTTGCTTTTTAAATCATTGTATTGATAAAATCCCTGTATTAGTTACGTTGCAATTAACGTATTATTTTATCCCGAATTCGATGTGGAAAAACCATAAATGTCGTTGAAGTCGAGCACGCAAAACATAAAAATTTCCTGAATTACTTATTTAGTTATAATACTACTTATTTATTTCTTATAATTTAGAGGATGATAAGTTTAATACTTCGATATATATGGCATAAATACTAGTTTTAACAAGTAAAGCTCACTTGTAGCAATTATGTTGCTTCTATAAGGTCTTGAAAGGCCTAAAACGTGATTTCCTTTGTAGCTAAGAGTATGTTTGATAAAAATAACTTATATTGTGTTTAGTCCTATCGATTTTGGGTTGCTAGTTGGTTTTCTATAATTCTGTCATTTTTGTTTGAGAATCGTGTAGCTTCCTCTAATGCAATCTCTTTGTTGATGGAGTATTATTTCAGATACGTCATTTGATATTATGGTGCCTAACTGCAAATAATTCAAATACCTAGATCCATTCTTTCAGGAAAAATTACATGTTAGATGAAGATGTAACACATGTAATTATACGCTAGTTCTTTATTGTACTTTTGTGGTCCTCCTTGGTACATATTAATGAAATGTACTTTGCATTATCAAACATATAATACGATAGGATTATACCAAACGAAATGCGAGACAAGTTCTATATAACATTGTGAGACTAGCAATATATTGTGAGAGTGAATGTTGGGTCTTAAAATGTTCCCAAGATGAATGTAACGAAAATGCGAATGCTAAGAGAAGTATCTCAAGATTGACGATTGAGAATTATCTCAGGATTGACGATTGAGAATCGTTGGACAAGGAAGATGACACACATTAGTTGGTGCTTTATGTGTAAGGGTTCCAGAAAAGACATAGATCATCTCCTACTTCATTGTCCAGTAGCCACGAGGTTATGGTGGGAAAACATGTGCGAGTTCAGAATGTCTTGGGTGGTGCCAGGCACATTGAAAGAGCTTATGTGGGTCGTTTGGAGAAAAAATAGGAGAGTTTCTTTAGTGTTGAGATGCATTTTGTACAATGCGGAATAGCCTCTTATTCCTTATTTCGTTTTGGTGCCACCATGAATTCCCTTTATGTATAAGGTTCAATATTGTTCGTAGAAAACATATCTTTTTGTAGGTTTTCTACCTTTTGGTATACTTCTTGTGTATGAGTGGTTTTTGAGCCTTGTTTTTTAAATAAATATATTACTTGAATAAATAAAAGGAAGAAGATGAACGGTCTCTGACAAGATTATACAACATTAGAATAATAACATCCAACAGAGGGGCTCCCGAGGCTTAGTTCAAATGGCAAAGGTTAAGGGACTTGTGATTTAGGTCACAGGTTCTAGCCTTGCGCCATGCAAACTAAGTCTGATATTTAAGTGGGGAAAGAGGGGCAAGCCCTTTATTCACGACTTTCGAAGGCTGTGGTTGGTCTAGATGGATTTCTCAGTCATAAACAAAACTTAATAGAAGGTGCAAATAAATACACAGAGGATAAATTGAGAGAAGATTGCCTAAGATGGTTTGACCATGTCTTACTGATGTACTTTAAAGGTTTTGTATCTTTCAAGCACAAAGAAGAGAGAGAAACAAAACACCCCGCTAAAGTTTTCACAAAACTAGCGAACGCATTCTTCAACCTCACGTTAGAAGAGTGTAAAATGGATAAACCTTACTCATACGTTTCTCAATCCCAAAAGATTGCAAGAAGCATTGAAAAGTGAAAAAAAGTAAACAAAAATGTCAATCACGTTTTGAATCATATGCTCAAAGAAACTAATCACCAACCTTTATTTTCAACATATTGAGCCATTTAAATAGGCCATACGATGAGTAAAATTGATGAGGTTAAGGAAAACTAATCCTAATTAAACTAGAATAAGAATAAGGTTAAGAAAAACCTATCCTAACTAAAATAGGAAAGAATTCTAGTAGGAATGGAATACCAACTAACAATTTTAATTTGAACAGGACTATAAATATAATCCTACTAAATCAAGAATCAAATTACTAGGAAATAGGAAATAAGAATTCCTAATCTTTATGAAAAAGAAATCCTAATCTTGAATGGATTCTTGAACTTCTTGAATTTCTTGGATTCTTGGCCTTCTTGATCTTGCGTCATTCTCCCCCGGTTGTAAAAGACTTATCGTCGAGTCTAACAGATGGTGCAAGATTTGCTATACTAAAGAATGGGCACCCAATGCTCACCAGGTTTCAAGTTACATTTTGGTAGCTTATCATAGAGCTTCTTCGTGTTGTAAGCAAACTAGCACTTGGTCGAACTAAATCTCACTTTCTGAGTTTCAACTTTCTACCAAGCCTTCTCCATGTAATCTTTCTATGTTGACTATTAAACTTCAACTTACGATATGAAGTTATTGGTGTTAGAACTTCATGAATCTTAACCAACTCCATGTCTAGTTTTGAATTAAACATGGAGATCGACACTCTTCATGGGAATGCATTAATTGTAACGCTTGTACACCAACAATCACTTTGATAATAACCACATATATTTATGACGTGAAGACATCTTGTTTCTTCAACATACCTCAAACTCTCCATTATTCATACCTTTTTAGGTAATCCTTCCTCTTGTTCATGCATATTTCTATGGACTTTAAGATTAATGCAATATATTGACTTGTTAGTAATTTTAGAGACAACAATCAAGTCAATATGGTGTTGAGCATCTCTGAAAGGCGAAAAATCAACGACTCACATAGTTGGATACTCCACTGGATCGTCATAAACCTTTGGTGCTAAATTCTCAACTTGTGGATCCAATGCATATTCCTCATCTCTTTGATAATGGTCTCCATCCGTTGTGTTCTCTTCCCTCAATTTGATTATCTAAATATTTATTATATTGGGCATGGTGCCTTGGTACTCTTATGCCTTGGTCAGATTCAACCTCTTCAGCCTGCTCACTATATCTTACTCTACACGGTTGAATTGATCGAAGTGGTAGACATGGTGGTAGCACTGGTATGTTATGTGATGGTGGAGGTTGTAGTCATTGTGGCGGATTTGATAGCTGATTTTGAAGAACTAGACCTTCCACCCATTCGGTCAGATGCCCCACTGATTTTGTCAAGCTATTTAGTTGCACTTTAAAGCCATCTAGCTGCACTTTAATTTCTTCATTATCTCGTTCAAGGGCTGTATTTCTTAATTTCTGAATTTATAATTTAAGATCCATTGAAGAGGATCCCGAGCTTGCTATTTCCTTGTCTGGTGACACGGTGAACAAGATAGCAAATCAGGAATTCAGACATGGAACCTGTGTTTTGATACCAAATTGCTGTACTTTCAAGATTTTGCACCTCTCAAGCACAAAGAAGAAGAAAAATAAAAGCACTCTGTTAAAGTTTTCACAAAACTTGCGAAAGCATTCTTCAAAATCACACTAGAAGAATGTAAGATGGAGAAAATCTTACCCACACATTCCTCAATCCCACAAGATTGCAAGAAGCATTGAAAAGCGACAAAAACGAAACAAAAAAGTCAATCACGTTTTTGAAACTTATGCTCAAAAAAACTAATCACCAACCTTTATTTTCAACATATTGAGCCGTTTAAATAAGCGATACAATGAGTAAAATTGATGAGGTTAAGGAAAACTAGTTCTTATTTAACTAGAATAAGAATAAGGTTTAAAAAAACATATCCTAACTAAAATAGAAAAAATAATTCTAGTAGGAATAAAATACCAACTAACATTCTAGTTTGACTAGAACTACAAATATAACCCTACCAAATCAAGAATCAAATTACTAGGACATAGGAAATAAGAGATCCTAATCTTTATGGAAAAGAAATCCTAATTTTGAATGGATTCTTGAACTTCTTGAATTTCTTGGATTCTTGGCCTTCTTGATCTTGCATCACTTACTTATACGTTAATATGCACTTGTCAGTAGGTATAACAATACTAATATGCACTTGTCAGTAGGTATAACAATACGATGATTGAAGGTGTTAAAAGAGGATGAGTTAGACTTAAATTCACATAGAGGGAAGTTGTTTCAAATAACCTATAATCCCTCAAAATCAAAGCAAATTTTGCTAAGAACAGAACATCATGGAAGCAAATGATTTGCGATACCAACTAATTAGGATTGTAGCTTAGTTGCTTACACATATACTTGCGAGGAGTAATTTTACTCCGGCTAGAGGTTAGAGACTTGTATGTCTGTGAAAAGATAATTGTGAGATTTGAAGAACATCTAGTTTTTGGAGGACCCCCATTTGTCTTTCCTGAATAGAGTAGAATGGTTGCTTAGTATACAGATACAACAATTGCAATTAGTTTGGGTTAGTCTTGAGGTAAAATTGATTGATACTGATATTATTTGGGAGATGATATAAGGTTTCTAGTTATTTTTGAGCTATAAAATGACATTTACTTCTATTGTTGATAACGTTAGTATGTCAATGGACGCCTCGTGTTCATTTGGAACCAAAGTAAAAAGATGTAGAATGTTTTGGTTTCAACATTATATACCATTTTTTTATGAAGTAAGAGAATTTTTATTGCTGGCATCATGAAGATGCAAGAAATATAAAAGAGGGACCGTACATAATAGAGGGGTCAGCTTTGATACAAAACAGAGCTAAGCTAAAGCTAGGGAGCTGACAAAATCCAAAAACTTAATAGGTCAATTTGCAGGGGCTAAATTATGCCAACTATACAACCATAAGAGACATCTAGCCTTAAGTGTGCAAGGGAGAGTTGATATCCCATCAAAGCATCTGCAATTCCTTTCTGTCCAAACACACACACACACAAAAATGCCAGCAGGGATCAGACTTTTTTGATAGACTTATCAACTTTTCTGGAGACCAACATTCATAGGCTTCTTTGATGCTTCGTGGTATAACCCGGGTGAGACCAAAAATAGCAAGGAACATGCACCGAATATCCGTGACAACGGGACAATGTAGTTGGAGGTGCCTATTAGTTTGTGATTTTTGTAGGCACATGAAGCATCTATTGACAGTCTGTATGCTCTTGTTGATACTCAACATTATACACTTTATCCCTCCGACCTGCAGGATATTTTCTTTACATACCCTTTCTTTGCAGGAGTCCTTTAACACACCCTTAATTTGTCAATTTGGTAGCTAAGATTCCCATATCTTCTTGGGAAGTGCATGACACGCGCCAATGAGAGTGCAACATGTGTCATAACGTAAAATAGAAGGGAAAAACTGAAAAATACTCCCTCACTCCTCTTGAGTTTCATTATTTACAATTTTAACCCCATAATAGTTTTCATCTTGCTAATTTACCCTTTTCTTTCTCTCTTCAAGCCCACTTCTTTCTATGTGATTATTTGGAATACTATTGCACTGCTGTTACTGTAATCCCCCTTATGAAAATATGGGAAAACAAACAACAAGAAATCAACGAAAGAAAAAAAAGGATGCTTTTTACCGCAATATGTTTACTCTTTTTGTAATAATGCTGACAAATGTTCCATAGCAAGTCTAATCCTTTTTTGCCGCCTAATGGTGGCCTAAAATGTGCTTAAATATGGCTTGATCAAAACTTAGTTGGATATAGTCAATAGGTCAAACTGCTTAGACTGCGTAGAGCTTTTCTACTTGGTCGGAAAGCGATTTCTGACAAACCCTTCTCACTATTTCACTACACCGAACTCACCAGCACTACCATTGATGTTGCATCTTGTTGATTGATGCACTTTCATCTATTTGCTTTAGAAAAATTATTATTTTCTTGATTGCTAGAGTTTGGTGAAATCGTAAGCTACCCTTCTATATGCAAAAATTGAGAGAATTGCCAGTCCTCTCAAGACATTCTCTGCGCACTTCCGGTCATTTATGTTTTTCCTTCCCCTTTTAAGTCTTCCACGAACTTTACCAATAAAAACCTTTCAATGTTCAATCATCAATTGGTAGGTCAAAATTATGGTAATTTAAGGGTTGTTTATGCTGAGGGAAGGGGCACTCATGGCACTGTCAATGGGTCCCATTTGCTGATATCCTTTTCTATTCCGTTTGTTAACCAAATCGTGAAGATGAATATGCAAGGTGTTAAAGCATACACTTGTCTTTCATCGATTATATAAAGATTGGCAAATGGGTTTATAATGTACTGGGCCACTCCATCCATTGCCTAAAGGTTTTGGATTGGATGCTTAGATTCTTTCTTATGGTATTAGAGCCAAACTTTAGTGAGCCTGTTTGTACAACCACATTCTTTCTTCATGTTCTATTACTCTAGGATTTGCTTCCCTCAACTTAGCCTATGGAGCTGCTCGAAGCTTCTCTCTCTCAATTCATTCGAGTCACAAACTTTCCCTAGTACTCCTCTCTCAGCTCTAGGCTCACTCTTCGGCCTGTTGAGCCTGATCTCTCTACATCAAGTCAACCCCTCAATCTTTTAGATTCAGCTCACATGTAAAGAATCCGGTTACACATGCGGAGGGTATTGGAGAATTCAGTTGTCTCTCATTGACTGTGTACCGGTTACAAATGGGTTTATAATGTCCTAGGCTACTCTATGCATTGCCTTAAGGTGTTGAACGCCTAGATTCATACACAAAAGGATTAAAGCTGCCGAAAGAATAGGTGATACATTGGAATGGAAAGGGAAGAAATCTATATATATGTTGGACATGTGGCATTCAAATAGCGTCTCAAACACAATTTTACTGTTCACACGCTGCTTTTTTGTTTTTGGCTTGCATGCCACCTGTCATTTTAGGGGGGGGGGGGGGGGGGGGGAGGTAATAGTTTCCCTTTTTACAAGTTGAGGTATGTAAAAGGATGTCGATAAAGAAAAAGTGTGTTAAAGAAATTTCTTTGCAAGTCCGAGGGGTAAAGTATGTATTAAGCCTTTTTTATGTTAAATTCTGTAACTATTTTGTGAAAATTGGAATGCCTTTTCGATTGAAAGCAAAACTTTCAGATGGATGCAATGGTACTGCTTTTAACAGCAAGATTGTTACTGCTCGAAGTAAAAATCTCAAAACTGTTAATGCCTATTTTTGTGATGAAAAGAACCATAATTAGCATTCTTCTATCTACTCTGCATCCAATAGTTACCAGAAAGGACGAGGTTGCGGTTTGTTAAAGACGGACTATTGTGTTGCTTCGATTTATATATCTACGCGAACCAAGACGCATACTTTTTTTATTTTTTTATTTTCTATATCACGGTGTTTGGCCCAACTTGCACGCACTTCAACTAATCCACTAGGTATCCTGTCGTCACCCAAGTGTTGTAGTTGGAACTACAATATGAGATCTCCAGGTTGTACTAGCATGTGTCATGCACTAGGCCATCCCTGGAGTAGTTGTATACCTTTCTTAATGATCTTATAGACAATATTCTTTTTATAGAATTCAACTCAATCATTTCAAATAGTAAAAATGATGAGTTTATGTAGTATTTTCCTTGGGAAAATTGCTCGTCATGTTGGAAATCCACTCTTTCATGATAAAGACTCCTCAAAGTATAAGTGTCATTATCTAAAGAAACTTTACCTAGTGAATGCATTTTGATCCATTCCATTAATTTTTTGAAAAAGAAAATGACATTGATCCATTCCATAAATCAAAATGACTAAATATTAGGTAAGAGTTGAAAATAAGAAAAAAAGATGAAAGTATATTTTCATAGAGTGATGAAAATGTCTAACAATTAAAATTTCAGAACTCGAGTATTCAACTAGTTATCCTGAGTCTTAAACACAATGAGACTGTAACTAATATTGGACTGAGATAAATCATTTTTGACAAAAGAATATTAGAATGAAATCCGAATAAAGCAGAAAAGATATAGAGAACTCACATAGTAGGCACAACTAGTTTGGGTTTGAGCCTTATTGGTGTTGTTATTGCTGTATTTTATTTCAATTTTGGAGCACACGTGATATTTCAACGTATACATAAGATTGATAGTTTTACATAGGAACTCCTCATAAGTAGACTTTGCTTTACTTTATCTCCTTGCGTTACGGGCCTTACTTTCAGTCACTCAAATCCCTATGATTTTTTTGAAACAAAAAGAAGGAAAGAGGTTCAAAATGTTCTTGAAAATGTGTACTTTAAGTTGAGGTATGCCGGAGACAATACTTAGAAGTTAGAATTATGCTACAAAGAGATTCAATTCTTTGTTTCTCCCTGGAGGAAGTTGGCTCTGATTTTGCACCAAGGGTGTGGCCTAGCGGTCAATGAAGTGGGTTGAGAACCATGAGATCTCAGGTTCAAGTCCCAGCCTGGACAAAAATACTAGGTGTTTCTTCCCGTCTGTCCAAGCCTTGACAGATAAGTTGCCTGGTACCTGTTGCTGTGGCGGGAGGTAGCAAGTACGCAGTTGAGGTGTGCGCAAGTTTGCCTTGCCAGATCCTCATCTAGAATACCTTCATTGAAAAGAAAAATAAGGAAAACCAAATAGAAGTTAGACACTTTGAGCGGAAAAAAAAATCAGAGATTCCAGAAGGCTATTTTGTCAGATTAGAGATAAATGGTCTAGAAAGAATTACTGAGTGTCATGATGTTAGGATTAGGCGCACGTCACGGGTTCAAACACTATCACTAACAAAACTGGCCTTTAAGTGGGAAAGGGTAACAAGGCAGACCCGTTATCCAGATTTTAGAGCTGTGTGCCACTGGCCCTCGGGGGTTTCTTGGTTATTAGAAAGAAAAAAGAATTAAGGAACAAAGGGGAATGAATCGTTTTTTGGGAATAATCATCAGATAAAGCTTCTAACAGTACCATTAATTTCTATTATCACTCATAGTATTAAGTTTTTCCAGTTATTCCTCTATGCTATTTCTAGCTTTTTGAAGCGCTCGGTAGATTGACTTTTGTTTGTTTTCTTTTGATCATTTCCTTATGTCATTCATCTTAATTTGCCAGTGAACAGGATTGAGTTGCTACTTTTCGCCATTGGATATTGTTGTGACTCGGGAGGGGGCTGATGTGCAAGGCATGATCATAAGAAATATTAAGTTCATCAAGTCTGAAAACTTCTGCTTTATTACGACATAAGGACGCTTGGATGGAAAACAAAATACTTCCATCTTCTTCTGGAGGGTACGACATTGATTCCTGTAGACCGCGTTTAGGCAAAAGGATATCAAGGCCAGTTGATTTGCCTGAATTTTCCTGGCCTCCAGAATCAAGATTAACAGAAGGTGGTCTACTCTTAGGAACTGCCACAGAAGAAAACATTCGTGAATTAACTGTAAACCGATCGAACTCTGCCAAAATGGTTGCTCTTCATGGTGATCAATTTAATTATCAGAACAGTGTCGAAGGTTCTAAATTAACATATAATAGGAAGTCCCAAGAAAATGAAGCTGAAAAACTACACCAGTACCCTTTATGCATGCAGTTGCAATCTACACAGCACCAGCATCCGCATTGGAAATCTGATGTCCCAGCTGGGGAGATGCCCGAATCGCTAAATTGGATATCAAAGAAAAGTAACATGCCTGCACAAGCTGACACCGGTAGATCTTCTTCAGAACCCGATAATTCGTACACTGAAAAATCTCAATTTCATCCTGATCAGGAAGATTTGGCTTCTGGGAACCCTGTTGTCACCTCTAGGATGCCATTGGAAATGCATAATGTTTCCCCTGGATTTGTGAGAGAGGTTGGAACAGTTGAGCAGAATTTTTCTCAGCACCATACCTCATATGCTTTTCACGGAAGAGGTCCCGAGGAAGCTAAAAGATTTGGGAATTCCTGTGTTTTGGAACAAAGTCGTCAGTGTTCAAACAGCAGTGGATGTAATAATCCCTCATCTAGAGATATTCTCTCCTCAGGAGTCTCAGCTTCTACTGAACAAAACATTGGTGGAAGGTCATTGCATAATGAGGTTCAGAGTTCCATTGGTTCTCTCGATAATGGTGTAGACAACTTACTTGAAAGTAGAGGAGGAAGTCATATGGAAGGTGCTATGAAAATGAAGGACCTGGAAGTAATAGATAAGGAGAACATCAAGAGTTCTTTGACAGATGACCTTTCCTCTAAAGATGGCCATCGTCCATCAAATGGTGTTCAACATGTTGAATCAAAGAAGTCAAATCATAGCTCTCAAAGATTAGATGAGAAGAGTAGGTTATCGTCTAATAAAATGCCTCTTGCGGCTGAAAAGCTATGGGATGGATCTCTTCAGCTAAACTCATCTGTTACTGTGTCTGTGGTGGCTTTCTTCAAAAGGTCTTTCCATTTACTTTTTGGTTATTGGCATTTGCTTACAACTTGTAAATAACTGCAAGCTACCTTAGAAGTAATACAAAGTCTTTTTTTAATATATTATTTGAGTTGTTGTCTGTTGTAGATTTATATTGGCACTAATGTTGCCAAATTAAGTATTAAAGAGTCAACCTCCCTAGATTATCTGGTCTCCCCTGTCCCAGTTAAAATAATGTCTGAAATGCTGCTCCTACGCATGTTCATCTTGTCTAAAATGCTAGATGGAACTTATTGCTTTCAATATTCTGCGGTTGCATTACTACATTCTTTTTTGATCAAGTATAAGAAGAAAATACTTGCATTACTACATTCTTTCCTGACTGCATTGTCTTGTTTTGATGAACTTCCAACCCAGCAGCCTGACATTTAACTACTTTGACATAACATGATTTTCATCAGGTGGACCCCTCTTAGAATTTGATTTATATTAAAAATGATGGCACAGTTTATGCATATTTTTATAATAATTTTCTAATGTTATTCGCTTCAGGCATAGATAGCTAAAAACTCAAAGTAGAATGATATTTTAGTGAAAACATTTCAAGAAACATAAGCCCC